GTCCTGACGGATAAACTCGTAACGAGTTTCGTATGGCTTACCTTGAGCACATCGCCGAAGAAGTCATTGCAGGTATGGATCGTCGATGAAAATGTAACTTATACATTTACATATGTAGACTTGAATCGTCTGCACCGTTGCTCGCTGCTGCTCGAATACTTCCAAGGCCGCGGAGAACATGAAAGACATGGAAGTTCCCGCCTGATCGCCCAACAATTGCATTTTACGTCGAAAAAGTCAGATTGATTTACATTTTTTATTGAAATATATCGATTGCACCCCGAAATATATTGAGCACTCGCTGAATTGAGCGCATACACAGTGAAATATATGGAACATCGCTTGAAATATACTGCAACCTACTTGGTTGCGAAATATAACGAATATACAACGAACGAAGTGGAACCGCCGCGAATTGCTTGTTCATTTCGCGAAAAAGTATGGTGAGGTCCTGAAATTAACCGAAAAAAGGTGTAGTAGTGTGTACAGTATGTAATAACGTGATCGACCAGTGATGGGCCGATTTTTTTCTTTTTTCTTTCGTGAATTCCTCGTCAAGTATTTATCCTAAGGCGATGTGTTGGACGTAATCTGAAAGAGCACGTCAAGATCTGTCACATACACCTAAACACAATGGATTTAGACAGTTCGTGATGACGTAAATAATTTCGAAAGTTGCAAAATTTACATTGACGACCAGTGATGGGCCGAATTTTATACTTGAATTAAGTATGGAATAGGGTTGTGTAAAAAACAGACGAGCAGACTGGAATTTATAAAATGATAAAGGAATATTATATTTGAACAGGAATAAGGTATTGCGGAACTGTACTGCACTTTCTCTCTTATATTCGGACACTCTACCGTACCACGTGGCAATCTTCAGCAGCTGGGTCAAACTCACACCAAAATAAAGGCAAGTTCCAGGCCAAGCAAGTATTTTCCCTGCAAAGTATGGGCACACCACTACCAAATTGGTATGTCTTAATAACGATAATCCAAACTCAATTAACCACCACCAAATTGGTCGGTTTGGCTTAGCACACTCACAGTCAACTGTACCACATGGCAATCTTCAGCAGCTGGGTCAAACTCACACCAAAATAAAGGCAAGTTCCAGGCCATGTATTTTCCCTGCATAGTATGGGCGCACCACCACCATTTCATAGAGAGGCAAGCAAATTTAGTTCCTCATTTTACAATTTTCCTTCCCTAGTGCCCATTGCGGGTGCCTGCAGCGTAATGTTCGTCACCACCAAGTGCGCCTGCGTCCGCTTAGTACCCCAGGCTGTAATCCTTCTCTACAACGGAAGTCGGTAAGGGGGCAGGGCAATGGTTAGCCAGTGAAGATTATTCTTCGAGGTGGGCACGGTGCTTTTGGAAACTTGTGATATCCCCCAAGTAATAATAAATATTGTATTCTCGTCTTGTGTTCACATTAATAATAAATAGCACCAACGTTACCGAACGCAATGACATAAGCAAAAATCGTTACCGAACGCAATGACATAAGCAAAAATCGTTACCGAACGCAATGACATAAGCAAAAATCGTTACCGAACGCAATGACATAAGCAAAAATCGAAAATCAAAATATCATTTACCACCTAAACAACATACTTTACTACTCAATCGTCATCATTGTTTGCGATCGGCAAGACCACATGCTCTTGCGGGTTCTTCTTCTTGCGCTTAGGCTTCGCGGCAACTTGAGCTTGAAGCAATTCGTGGTAGTCAGCCGTAATGAACATGCCACTTACTGTCAATTTCTTTCTCGCGGGAGTCTTGCGCTTCTTCAGTGCAGGCAAGAGCAGAACTTCGCCACGGACAAGCTCACGCCTTTGCAGCCAAGACTCATTCGCATCAACTTCATGGGTAGCAGATGGCTTGAAAAGAGACAAACGATACATCATCTTGTCCAACGATATCGGACACAATCCCGTGCACACAAACCCATTGATGATGGCGGCTTCATTGGTCGAATTAGCCCAAACGTCGCAGGCAATAGCGATGGCGCGTTGCTTGTTGATGTTCGTTGACACATCGGCCAGATGGAATCGGCGACAGAATTTCGAATTGTGCTTAAAAGGCCGAAACACTGTCACGTCGAATGGTTGGAACAGGTGTGTCGCATTCGCCGGCAGAAATTGCAGCAAAATGTTCAAGGCATTGGCTTCCGCGTAGATGTGTTCGGAGTAGTGCGACGAGCAGCCATCCATGATCAGCAAAATCGGACGCACTGTGGACGGTGGAACATGTGCGCTGAGCATGGCAAGCCACTTGCGACAGATGTAGGAGTTTGTCCATCCTTTTTCAGATGTTGTTAGAGCAGCGCCAGGGATTGTGAGACTGGCACAAGCTTCGGTAGTCACTCTGTCACCAGGGAGAACACAAAGCGGTGGCATCTTTGTTCCATCTGCGGCAACACATGCAACAATTGTTACATGTGCGGAGGCAGGTGTTTCCTCGGCATGTACAGATCTCGTTGACTCGTGGGCAACAACCTTCTTTGACGTCTTCGAAGGAGAAAAGCTGGTCTCGTCCATGTTGAAAATTCGGGATGGGTCCATGTTGATAAGCGACGCTGAGTGAGCGAGGTCATGAAAGAAGTGAATGACCGTAGCGCTGTCAACCGCATTGCGAGGCTTGCTGAGGACTTGGGCCTTCGTGACCTTGAGGTGAGGGTGACGATCAAGAAATCTCTTGTACCAGCCGGTCGACAACTTCGCATGCTGAGGTGTATCATGTACGAGCTCGAGCATCTGGGTTGCATGCTGGATAATTTCGCGAGAGCCGATCGGATGACCGTCTTGTTCCATTGCGAGGATCCATGTGGCCAAATTCTCTTCGAACTGCCGTGGCAGAAAAGGCGCCAGTCCCATAGCCACCACCGCATTGGTTGTGATGCAGGCTTTAGCACTAACCACATGTTTCCGAAGTGTCCGTTGCGGAATGTCGTATGCACTCGCAGCAGAAGGTACTGAATGGGCTTGGGATAGGACTGCCTGAACGGCTGCTCTCATGGTGTCATCGGTGTACGGCGTTCGAGGCGGCATTTTGTTGTCAATTCAAACTCGAAAACCTTTTAAATACAATAATTTTTCCCACCATAAACTTTTACAAGATTATTGGCATGAGAGGTTCTGTTTTGTCCAATAATACAGCTCGAACGATTTAATTGGATGAAATAAATCGGCACATCACTGAACATTCGGCCCATCACTGGTCGGTCACGTTACTAGGAACGGAGTAGTATCATGTACTGTATGCGGATGTACGAATTGAAGTGGGGTACGTACTAGTACTATTAATAGTCTACTGTACCTAGCAGTAGTATTTCCAGGAGTGTAATACAGTACTACTAGCAGTACTTACTAGTATTAGTAGTACTACATAGTACTTGAAGTACATACTACTACAGAACTAGTATGCAGTAGCGCTCCCTAGTATTAGTACTACTAATAGTACAACGTAGTACTGACACTGGAATTGAGTGGTCGATTCAACGAATACGTAGTACAAAAAACGTTACTACTACTTCCTCTGTTCCGTAAAGGTGGAGACTATTGTGTTTGGGCAAATTTTTATCTTACTATTTGTATACCCGATTTCACAGAAATGTGTATTTTTATCAAAAACAAGTGTTTACGACGAGATCGGTCATGACCTGCTGCAGTGCCAAGTGCCAGAACGAGTCGACATTGAAGCAGTCGACACCTTTCAAGGAAGGACATGCACCATGAGTACCGATGGTGCGCTTGGTGCGGTCCTGGATGAAGCACCTGCTGGAGTTCCTGGCCGGCAGCCAGCACTTCCTCCAGGGCCACACCATGCCCACCATCAGCAATCGAGGTCCGGGCATTCACCCAACGAGTACTGATGATGCAAACGATACGGCCCAGGGGGAAGCGTCTGCTGGAATCAATGGCCGTCAACTAGCGCTTCCTCGACGGCGGCAACGTTTGCATCATCATCAAGGTTTGTGCAAGTCCAACCACAATGTTCCGGCCGATCAGGCACTCCACCTGCTCGATCAGACGAGCATCATAACTTGTTGCAGGAGTTAGTTGTTGTGGAGTGCGCCGTGTACATCACGTGCACTTAGAACGGGTAGCAGGGTGCGTTCTGCGCGCGAAAATGGGAAAACGTTCACGCTCGGAATGCAAATGGCCAGGACACAGGCCACCTCACTTGGTCGTGGTCTTGTTTTTTATGTAACTCCTTCTCCAGCAATGCAAATGCAACGCTGATGTGTGCTAGCGACATCTAGGCAACGAGACGAATCGTTTGCGCTCGCATTCGACTCGATTGGAGGAGAAATGCCTCATCTACGGGTGTTTGTAGATTTGCTGTCATCAAC